AGGGGGTCGGCAACCCCTGGCACGCGTGCCAGCATTGGCACGCGGCACCGTAACCAGTGGCACACTAGGAATAAGTGGAATAAGTGTGCAAAAATATTTAAATCGTATTTTCGGATCCTGAACGAGACCGCCGCCAGAGCGCGTCTCCCCGTTACCTGCAGAAGGAAGCCATGCAAGCAACGCAGCCCCGCTCTCTTTATAGGTGACATTCTGCCACTTTCCTCCGTGGTGCAGTGCTGATCGTTTCACCACGGAGGAAAGCACTTCACTAATTGCAGTACCCGTAAGGAGCTGTACAAATGCCGCAGTTTTTGCATGGCTGTGTCTTTAGTTGAAAGCCCAGTGGCGATCTGCTCATCTCTCATCGAAATAATATGCTACAAAGGGGCGGACTGGCCATCTGTGTGTTGAACTTTCCTGTCGGCTCCCAGACCTCGTCTCCCAGGGCAGAAGCAACAAGCTTCAGGTTCAATAACCCACTTTAGCTTAAATGACTGGAGAGAGGCGAGCTCTTCTTGGGAGGCTGTTGCATTTATTTAGTTGTTCTTCTGTTTCACAAGATACATCACAAACCTCTGTTTTTCTGCTGCCTCGTTTTTACTTCCCGAAACATACACACGCTCGCTCACTCTCGCTCTACCATCCACACACACACACATGCACATGCACACGCAAAACTCCTCTCTCTCTCTCTTAAAGAGACAGCGATCTCATCTCACTCTGCATGACCCAAATATCATAACATGTGTGTTCTGGAGAATCACAGAACGAATGATCGTCCTTATTATTATGCCGTTTAAACCAATTATTTAAATGTGTTTGTTGAATTCGGCATCATGTAAGTTGACAGGTCCACACACTGCAGTGCTTCCCCGCAGCGAGGCTCCCCCGCTCTCCTGTTGACAGTTCACGAGCGTCAAGCTCCTCAACCCCACCCCGTTGATAATTCACGATCGTTGGCACTAATAAAAAATATATATTTTTTAATGGCACCTCATATCAAAAAGTTTGCCGATGCCGACCCCTGTCGTGGGCCATCAGAGAGGGCCTAGAGGGCCCTGACGGCTCGCCACTGCTTAATTAATCTTAACATCTATTCATGTAATATCTAGTTTTTGCACAAAATAGTGGATTAAAGTATCAATAAGAGTATAGATGAATACCGGTTGAAAAGCAGTCTGGGTTTCTATAAAATCCTAACAATACCCACCTCTATTGTTATCCAGATAAGTTTCATCACCGGAGTTCCCGTTTTTGTTGTCAATGTTGCTTCTGATTGGTTATTTTTCACAAACAGCTCCTTTCCCCACTGCTTAAGCAAATAGTCGGTTTTCTAAACCCAGAGTTATCGGTGCATTATTCATTCTTCAACTTTTGAAATTCCCCAGGTCCTATCCAGAGGTGCCATTGTCATGCAAGGAGTTAAACGGGTTGAAGTGCAAGATAAATCAGGTGAGAAGAGAACGACGTCTTAAAATCTCCCTTTAAATAAGCATTGCTAAATAATTATTTGTATTGTTTTATTGATCCAAGGAGTCATGTTATTGAGGATTGTGGTTCATAACAGCTGGTTTGTATTTCAGTGAATGAGGGCCAGGTGTCCTTTAAGCTCACAGTGTCTCCAGACATGGCTCCAGACATCCAGGTTATAATTTACGCCATCCTCCCCAGTGAGACTGTGATCGCCAAAAGCGCCGACTTCTCCATTGAGAAATGCTTCAGTCACAAGGTCAGTTTGAGGAGTCACTGTTATGGTCAGATGTATAGAAAAAAGTGTATATATATCTGTGCTATCAGTCTCACGCCGGTTTGATGGGCGCTCAAACATCATTGGTCAATAGGAATCAACTACGAAGCTTCTGAGACCATAATCTTGATACATTTGCCCAAAGATTCTGTTCATATGCAGATATATTTTTATAAACATTCCAAAAATACTAACTGTTGTGGAAATTCCAAGATTAATCAAGATTCCTGGTAAGAAAATAACAAATATAGAAGTTAAACCAAAGTGTTGTTATACAAGATCATTCATGTTGTGGGTAAAGCATGTGGTTTGACTGAAGGCATGACTGTGATGGAAACTTCTGAAGCAATGGAGACAGGACTCAGAGAGACACGAGGGGAGCAGGAACTTTGATGGAAAACACTGATGGTTTATTTGGAGCTTTGGCCGGAGAATTCAAAAGACATGTGCTGTGCCACGAGTTGACACAGCGGTTGCCAAACCAATTCTGAAGAACTCTTCCGCAGTCGGAGGTTCTATCTAGTTCAGAGTGTAATCAACATTCCTCATTAGCGAGACTAAACAGTCGTAGAGTAGACACTGAATCAACAGAAGTTGTCAGCTGTGGCTAGAGAATGTGCACCCAGGAGCCCCTTGTGAGTAAGATAAGAAGGTGCTCCAGATGTCCCTAAACAATAAACTATCTCATGTCAAGTTGTGCCCGGTTGTAAACTGGCAACAACGACAGCTTGAGCAGCCCCTCCTTAAGGGGGATAACAGCAAGCCCACTGCTGAAGACGTGTGTCCATGGGAAAGGAGGCATAGGAAGGAGAAACAGACAAAGAATGTCAAAGGTCACATACCTAAGCAAATTATTCCCTAACAATGACCAGCCAATTAAAGTTAAGTTTAATCTTAGCCGAGGTTTAGTATTGAGCCGAGTTTTACCTCTGGAGGGTACAGAGGACTTTTAACCTTTGAGAACCATTCACATGCACAAAAACCTATATAGCACACGACAGGGAAGGGAAAACCGCAAAAGGCATAATATGGCCCCTTTAAATGTTGAATAAGGTTGATTTTTGGTGCCTACCCTCTCACCTTGTCACTTCCCAAAAGGAAGCATCAACATTAGCAGAGTTGGGATTGGGGAGTGAGAATAACAACAAAATCTAAAAATCACATTAGACACAGAAGTTGATGCAAGCCACTATGAGTTATTTATTAACAACAAAATAAGTTACCATAGCTATGCGGATGACACACAAATTTACGTAACAATTTCACCAGGAGACTATGCTCCAATTCAAACACTGAGTAAGTGCATTGAACAAATCAATGACTGGATGTGTCAAAACTTTCTCCAATTAAACAAAGATAAAACTGAGGTAATGGTTTTTGGAGCCAAGACAGAACGTATAAAAGTTAGCGCTGAGCTTCAGTCTGCAATGTTCAAAACAACAGATAAAGCAAGAAATCTAGGTGTAGTCATGGACTCTGACCTGAGTTTCAACAGTCACATTAAAACAGTTACTAAATCAGCCTACTATCACCTAAAGAATATATCTAGGATTAAAAGACTAATGTCACAGCAGGATTTGGAAAAACTTGTCCATGCTTTTATCTTCAGTAGACTGGACTACTGGTCTTTTCAGGTCTCACTAAAAAATCTATTAGAAAGCTGCAGCTAATTCAGAATGCCGCTGCTCGAGTCCTCACTAACACTAAGAAAGTGGATCACATCACTCCTGTTCTGAAGTCTTTACACTGGCTTCCTGTGTGTGTCAAAGAATATATTTCAAAAATACTGATTCTGGTTTATAAAGCTTTGAATGGTATAGGCCCAAAATACATTTCTGACCTCTTGCTAAATTACGAACCATCCAGATCTCTCAGGTCTTCAGGGACTGGTCAGCTTTCTGTCCCCAGAGTCAGAACTAAACATGGAGAAGCAGCGTTCAGTTATTATGCTCCAAATATCTGGAACAAACTCCCAGAAACCTGCAGGTCCGCTGCAACTCTTACTACTTTTAAATCCAGGCTGAAGACTTTATATTTTTTAATTGATATATATTAAACTGCACTGTAACATTTATCATATTTGCTTTTTATCTTTGCTTTTAAATGTTTTTTTGTTAACTTTTCTTTTTAATGACTGATTTGAAATGCCATTTTCTTAATGTCTTTCGTTTTTTGTAAAGCACTTTGAATTGCCTTGTGTTGAAAGGTGCTATGTAAATAAACTTGCCTTGCCTTGCCTTGCCTATTAAAACAACAGCTAGCCCCTGTCATTCCACTAAAACACTATCTAGCAATGTTGCTATGTGCGGGTCTGGCGTGGGGACATTTCCCCTCTAGGCACTTAAGACTAAATTAAAGGTTAAACTACACATTTGTGTAAGGTTAAGAACAGTGTAGGTTCTCAAAACAAATCATCTCACCCTCTGGTTGATTAGATATATTTTTGTATATACGTCAGGTGTCGCTGGAGTTTTCTCCATCCTCGGCCGTCCCCGGAGAGCAGACCACCCTGCAGGTGAAGGCCCTGCCAGACTCTCTGTGTGGTGTCAGCGCTGTCGACCAGAGCGTCCTCATCAAGGAGCCAGGGAAAACTCTGGAAGCAGACAAGGTACCTTCTAGAATCAACCACAAATAGATACATAGTTAACGTTACCTCAGCATAAGCTTTAATAAGAGGTTAGAGTTTGTGTTGTCATTTCCTTGTGTCATGGTTAATCATTCTCTTCTTCTACCAGTTGAATATCGTAAACAACTATGTAAAACATCTGTTTAATGCAGCTTGATGCTGATTGTGTTGCCATATTTACCCAATTGAGGCCCACTGTTATTGAAAATGCTATTGGAAAAAGTTATGATCATATTTGCGAGGTGCTGTTTGAACAAATATTATTTATATTCATATTTCAAGATAAAAGACTACAACTTAAATCATAGAGCTCCCCTAAAGAACAACAAACACTTGTCAGTGTATAATATTGAATCATACCTTTCTTCTCAGATATTCAACTTGTTGCCTGTCAAAAAAGCATCCCATGTTCCATACAATGTTGAAGATCGTGTAGAATGCTTGCTTGTGAGACCCAGAAGATACGCTATTCCATATCGTGAAAGAAACCAGAGAGATGATGCTCATACAGTTTTCCAGGTACTTAGTGCACAAACATTAATGTACAAAATAAAGCATACACCAATATATGTTGTTGTTGCCTAGTTGATCAACTTTTAAGTGATGACTGTATTTATGTATTTAGAATGTAGGTATGAAGATAGCAACAAACCTGGTTATCAGAGTGCCGACATGCCTCAAGTACAGAGGAAGAGAATACCACCAGGGCCATGGTATTTGATTTTCTTGTTGTATCAAATGACACATTCTGTTTATTTACCAGCTTTTAAAAAGGTAACCATGTCATTGCTTTCTGCTGATTCTGCTGGATTATTGTATGCTTTAATTTCAGGTATGCATGTAACATATAACTCTGCTCCAGAAAGAATGCGAATGATGAGCACACCTTCCTTAGACCAACATTCTTTTGATTCACCGATTGAGACTGTCCGCACTTTTTTCCCCGAGACCTGGATATGGGAGCTTATAGAGGTTGGGTAAGATTTTGCCTCAAATCGTTTTCATGGTCATGAATTGAGGGAGTTTCTCCCTGCACAAAGGGATAGCAGGAAAAGCACTGTTCAACTAGAATGTTTTTTAACCAGCTGGCTCAAATATGTATGTAAGGACTTTTGTTATGCCAAGGAACATGTATTCATAATTTTTACTGACATTTCTTTTTAAATGATTCTGTAGGCAGAATAGTGTTTTTTTGGTGCTAGTGGGAATCATTTTCAGGGTTAGGCTTCTGTTACCATCTCAGGATTGCGATCTGAGGAGGGCTGGGAAAATGAATGAAAAGTCACACAAGTTAGCGTATAGAATGGTCTGGCTTTATTCACATTCCTTAAGTTTGTGTCTTTGCCAAAGAATAACATATTTATTTATGTTCCTAAGCTCAAACCAATTACTAAAAATGCCAAACACATACAGTACTGTGCATGTGTTATTCACATATTAGTTCTGACCATTCATTACACAACTTCACAGAATAATAATAATAATGCAATAACTGTTCCTCATAACTTATAACATATTTACAAATACAATTATAAAAAAACATATATAGAATGTTCTGGCAATCTCTCAACTTCTTCAATCTTGACCCTAATCAGAATGTCAGACCTCAATCCAATGTAAGTGTAGAGCCCCATATACAGGTTAAACTGTATAATAACATGTACATTATATCATTAAAAGTGTAATGAAGCTTGGTGAACATTCAATTTGTAAATATATTTTAAAAAATGTTATTATGTTGACCGTTATATCTTACTTATGTATTATATGCCTCATTTTTTACAGTCTTGTACATTACATCATGTATGTTTTCAAGTTCACAGAATCTGTTTGTGTGTTTCTGCTGATCCAGAAAGTCTGGAACGAAGGATGTGTCCATCACAGTCCCAGACACCATCACCACCTGGGAGACGGAGGCGTTCTGTTTGTCCTCTCAAGGTTTTGGCTTGGCTCCTCGTAAAGAGATCACTGTCTTCCAGCCCTTCTTCCTCGAGCTCAGCCTGCCCTACTCCACCATCCGAGGGGAGCACTTTGAACTGAAGGCAACCGTCTTCAACTACCTGACCAGCTGCATCATGGTAACTTATATTTCCTCCATATTTACGTCAGCATGCTCATAATAGTTGCTAACATGCCATAAAAAATGTTATGGAAATGCACCCAATATAAATGCAATTTATAGTTGTGTAATGACTGCAATGTACTTTGGCTGAATTGCATATCCTTAATCTCATTGCATAGAAATGTATCTCTTGATAGGTTGTTTATTTTCAATAGGGTTCCTCTGGCGTTGCCTTCACACAATCCTACCTCCAAAATGTCCCAACAAACTATTTATTTGTGCATCTGTCTATTGACTGTTTTTTTGCAGCATGGATTCTGCTCAGAACTTTCACCATAGACATTGTTATTGTGTGTTGCGTTGCAAGTGACACATCCTTTGACATCTGATCGGAATTGAAGTTCTGGAGTCAATTTGGATATAATCTGCATACGCCAGAAATAGATTTTGGCTGGCATTCTAAACAAGGCCTTAGTCCCTTACTCATTGACCAAGTTCTTAAAACATTTGCTTCTTATTTCAGACTGGACAAGATTACTGAATAGATACTCAGATGATTCACTCAATATTCCTTATACTTGTGATCCCACATATTTCTCTGAACTTCATAAACCAAATGTAGGATTGTACAATATACTTTAATTGGTTTCCTTATGAGTTGATACATATTTTCTCATTATTTAGACTGTTATTGATATCGACTAAAACCACTCACTTTTGACGGTCAAATAAAAAACTATATTCGATCATTATTGCCAGCCATGACAGTTATGAAATCGAGGTTTGTAGTTGAGATCAAAATGTAGGCGAACTAAAAGAAATGGGCATTACTCAGTGAAGACATCTGATGTAGGGGTGTAGGAAATGTGGGGGAGGGGCAATTAGCTCCCACTTTACACCCCTGGTCCTATTTGGCATCACACCTAGCATGATCCCATCGCTAGAAGGGTCTCTATTTAAAACCTGTACTTTGCCTTTTCCTTCACCATCTCTTTAACGGGCCCTTTCAACAAAATCATGATGACAGGGATACCAAGGTTCTTGTAAATACCTGGAGTAATCCTCATTTATTAACTTTAGTTTTCTAGCTCTTTGATTATTTGGTCTCTGCTCTTATTTGAAAATAAAGTCTGCAAGATACACCTAAGTGAGGGAAAGCCTGAAAGTTAGCATCCATAGTCCCACTGGGTTTGGAATCTTGCTGTGGTAAATACAATTAAACATTCATGATACTTATGGTACGTCCACACGGTTCCGTCGCGTTGAAGCCTGCAGGTGGGCGTGGCTGGCGCGACCAACAACCAATCACATAAATCTCCCGCCCCGGACACACAACCACGCGGTTTGATGAGCTAGCGCTTGTACTGGCATATGGTTTGATTGGCTGGCGCTTCCGTCGACGCTTGAAAAGTTGAACTTTTCTCAACTTTCTAAGCGAGCAACGGAGGCAAAGCGACCCAACAGAACCACCATGCAGTTCGGCAAAGCTTGACGTAACCCCATTCAAAGTGAATGGGAAGCGTCTCCTTTGAAGCACGCGACGGAACCGTGTGGACGTACCGTTAGAGGTTTTAGTTTAGTGGGATAATCTTAACATATTAACACCAATCTTATAATTTTGTTTTCTTTAAAGTATTAATGTTATCGCCAAAAGGCTAAAAACAAACTCACAGTTGTATGTTTTTAAGCCACTGAGTTAAAGGCAACTAATGTTCTATGTTTATTAATTTCATTTGACCACTTGTTAGCAGCCCCCTTTTTTAAGACACGGAAGCTTCAGATTTTCATCGGTGTGGTATTTACTTACGGAATTTATGTTGTTAACAAAGAAATATCTTAAGCTCATGTGTTTACCGCAGATTTAATTTCATTCTAACCAACTCTCAACAGCTTACTGTGGTTCCAGAGCCCTCCTTAGATTACACCCTTACCCCCCTCTCTGGTGACCAGTACACATCCTGTTTGTGCGGCGGTGAGCGCAAGACCCTCAGCTGGAACATGGCCCCCTCAGCTTTAGGTGAGAGAAGCATTTTTGACTGATATGAAATGTTAGTCTGCCAAGGTGTATACAACCTTTTTTAGCTCAGTGAAATCATATCCACCTTAGTGACAGAATGTTTATACATGATAATTAATAAAAACACAATTCTTGATCAAGTTTCACATCTTGTTTGTTGATCTCTTGAAGGGGTTGTGAATGTGTCAGTGACTGCTGAGGCTGTGGCATCCCAAGCTTCATGTGACAATGAGATTGTGAGCGTGCCAGAAAGGGGTCGTATCGACGTGGTCAAACGTTCTCTCATAGTCAAGGTCAGGACGATTAAACTAAATGACAAAGTATAATTTATCCATTTACTATAGGGAACATTTTGAACTCACATTATATATTTTCCTTTCAGGCGGAAGGAACTGAGATGTCCAAGACCTACAACTGGCTGCTCTGCCCAGAAGGTCAGTTTGTTCAGGAAAAGGAACAGCCAAAGGTTATAAGTTAGTTAGGAGTACATTTCATGTAAAAAATATAATGAATAGATTCAGTAATTACAATTATTATGGAAAATGTGTTAAGTTAAGTGCAGGTGTCATTGATTTATGGAAGGTCATTGTGTAAATACATTTGATCAACCTGATTTTTATTTATTAATGGACAACAATTTGTGTGACATTTTATCAAACTACCAATACAATATGTAACATCTTAACAACTTCTTTGTTTTGTACTGAGCTGAGGGTTTGTTCCCTGTCTGCACACAGGAGAGGCTTTGACAGAGGAAATAGAAATACAACTGCCTGAGAACGTCATTGTTGGATCAGCCCGAGCTTCGCTATCAGTTCTGGGTAACAAATACATTCCTGATCAATAGGCTTCCCTCTCTTGAAGCTTTATCAATAATGGTATCAGTAATAAAATAAAAACATCTCTGTCTGAATTTTCTTTTTTCGGAGATATCTTGTTTGTCAAACAATTCAAAAACCTTTCCCTTCACATGTTTTACTAGAATTTGAACTAAGAACAGAACAAAAAATCTACCCTTTAGCAGATGATTTGAAAGCCGGCTACTTGTGCTTTTGTGTGTGTTGGAAGGATGAAAGAGCGTTGGCCGTTCGGATGACACTGAGGAGGGTCAGAAAAAGTCAAAAGTCAGCTGAGTTACATTTTCACAGTCTTAGCTTCATTGTTTTTGTGCAGGTGACATTCTGGGCAGAGCTCTAAACAACCTGGATGGGCTGCTGCGGATGCCGTATGGATGTGGTGAGCAGAACATGGCTCTCCTGGCCCCCAACATCTACATCCTCCAGTACCTGAAAAACACTCAGCAGCTGACCCCAGTCATCAAGAACAAGGCTACCAACTTCCTCACCAGTGGTGAGTCTTGTTTACATTATGGTGTAGTTAAAAAACAATCAACAATTTCTGCCAAACCCAAGAACCTGTAGTAATCCTGTGATTTTATCCATGGATCTAAAAACTGAAATCTTACTCAAAAACGTGTTGGTAAAGCCCCTGTCACACTGTCCCGAAATTGACACCAGATGGACACACGATAAAGGAAATGTTCAAATTCGACTGATCGTAACAACATCGGGCCATTCGTGAGGGCATCTTAAGCCATCGTATGACCACCGGTGGAGTTTCTCAGGCTCCGGCAGCAACTTTGTGAGCAGTGGCAAAATCTTTGACATGCAAACAAATTGCAGAAGGACCATTCGAAGGTTCCTTTTCGTGTTGAATTTGTGTGTCCATTTTGCCCTTCGTAAGGCACCCGTGAGGGCATCTTGTCAAATCGTGTCATCTTTGTCTGATCATCGGTGCCATTGGGCATTTTTACCTCACGAAGACAATACGAAGGAAACAAGAGGCTGCCCGATTGTCTTAGGAAGAAAACACGACTACGTGAAGCCCTCGCAATGCCGTCGTGTAGCCATCGTATTATAGTACGATGACATCGAGATTGCATTTATTGCACAACAAAATCATGTAAACATATTATGTAAATATAATCATATTTACATTGCTTTTGTTACTTTCGTTGCAGTTGTATGTATAAAGGTCCTTACACACCAAGCCGATTTTCTGCGTCGATAGATGTCGATAGATGTCGTGCCGACACCTTCCGCCGCCGATTCGACATGTTGAATCGGTCGGCCATAGAAATCCCTCTGATTGGCTGTTCAGCTTAGCGAATCAGTGCATGAGAGGCGAAACGGAAGTGAGGGACCCAAACAAACTATTAAGAAGGCAAATCTGAGATTTCATTTAACTCCAGCTCTCGACACAGGTTCGGGAAAGCCCCAGTGTCTATATATTTAATTGGCAAGAGCTTCTCATTGTAGAGTGAAAATGGAACGCACACGCTATTTGTTGTTTGTTTATATCACGCAGTCTGTTCTTCTTCTCTCGGTGTATCACGCAGTCTGTCTTCCGGTTGTTGCCTCTTTTAAATTACGAATACACACTACCGACGCCTGCTGGTAAGTAGGGCTGTCCCGAATACCATTTTTCGGGTTCCGGATATGCGGTAGTAATCAGCAGCGAATATTTGGATATTCGGGGTATTAAAATATTCAACAGTATTGTTGTTTTATAGTTATTTGCAGTGGCGTTTCTATATTTACAAAAGTGGTGGGGCACAAAAAACGTAGATGTCTATATATAAGCTTCTGCAGTGAGGTTCATGGCTGGTGAGGCACTGGCTATGACTCTTCAGGTTTACAAATATTATATTTTGACCTAAATCAAAATATAATATTATTTTCAAAAGCTTTTTTAGTCTGATGCCTCGATTAATTTTAAACAGACAGTTCAACAGAAGGATACCCAAAAAATGTAATTTTATCATTTAAATATTTAATTGTTCTCTCTCAGTAAGATCCCATTTTCAATAAAATTGCGGTCTTACCTTGACTTGAAGATGAAGTCCATTTGCCTATCCTTCTGGACAAAAATCTCTATTACTTTTTTGTAAAAGTCCTCCTTATCTTGTAGTTTCAAAAGTCTATCATAAATCTAATCGATAGATTTATGATTAGAAAATTATAAAAGTAGGGTAGACATGTGGATATTATCCTGCTGAACAAAACGTGCATTTACAGTAGGTACGTTTCCCACAGATCTTATTTTTAGCTATTTTCTAAAATCCTATGGAGAAATCTCATTGCTTTTTTGTGGAGGGAACCCATGCGCAGCCTACTTCCGGGTTTTAGGACGCGTCTCTCGTCTCCTCTTCACACACCACACTTTTCGCGGCACACGTACTTACAGCCAATCAGATCTGAATGATGTGAGATGACGTATGGTGGGGAGTGGCGAGCTCAGTGCCCCTACTGGTCATATTTTTTGTCCACACACATTAAATAGGACAATACTCTGAGCACGCGCAGTGTAGTTTTTACAGTCACCGTTCACTTAGTACAGTGAGAGGGAGGGGGCGATGATCGGGTTTTGGTTCCCACCATCTGAGACTGCC